TTTCCGTCTGAAATCTCTCTATGCGCGGCCTGTTCGCTTCCCCAGCGAGCGATGCTACAAATAGAATAACATGTCGTGTCAGCTGTGGGAGTGACAACAGATGGAGCTCGGAGACTCTCTCTGTGCATATGCACAAGCCAGGAAAGGTGTTGGGGAGATGCAGCACCACGAGGCTGGGAAGACTTGTTCTTCTCTGCTTTGTGGTTTCTGAGAACAGGCTGGAGTGCTGTTTTGCACGACATTTGGGAAGCACATTACTGCTGACAGTCATAGCCCGCAGGAGGGATTTGATGTCACTGTATAAAGATTCCTGGCTAATTTAAAAGTGAAAAATGAAACCATTGGTGAGGTGGGAAGGAGCTGAGTTGACCATCAGGAAACAGCACCTCGGGGCCTTTCTGCATACACATGGAAAGTCTTATTTCCTAAGCAGTGTAAGTAGAAAAGTGAGAGCGTGCGTCCCGCCAAGGAGTTTGGTATAGAAAGATGCTTTCTGGAAGGGCACGAGTTGCCTTCAGGGTGAGCATGAGCAGAGGCTGAGCAGAAAGCTTAAGACAGGGGAGGTTTGATATCAGGTCCTGTCCAGAGGTGGAGATTTGGACTTGACCAGCAGCACGCGCGCAGCATCTGACAGTGTCTCTGTCCTCTTTCCCCTCCCTGGCCCAGTATATTGAGTCTCCTGATGTGGAAAAAGAAGTGAAGCGTCTCCTGAGCACAGATGCTGAAGCCGTCAGTGTCCGTATCCTTTTAGGAGATAAAAAACTCGGGTGTGGGACAGGACCCTTAAGTGTCACCTGGGAGTTCTGGGAAAGAGAGACAAGTTCAGCTCAGTGTGGGTTTGGGAGACTGGAAGATAAGCACACAAGAGGCACTGAAGGTTTGGAGCTTCATCTTTGCCCTGTTTTCTTCACAGCGACCTTCCTTGCAGACTGGGCTGTTGGATTGAGCAGGCACTTAATTAAAGGCAAGGAAAGTCATCAAAAAAGGGGGCTGGAGTCGTTTGTCCTCAGTATCCCTAGCTGCAAGGCCAGGCTTTTTGGAGGGGCAGCAATCTGCAGTTCTCAGCGTTCTTTTGTTGTACTTTCCTATTCCTCTTTTCTCCTTGACTTGTCTGTTCCTGCTGTCAGGCTGGGAAGTCATTGCTGAAGATGAAACAAAAGAAGTAGACAACCACGGTTCGCTCACCAGCCTGGACATCTCCTCCCCAGGAATGTCGGGACATAAGCAAGGCCACGGCTCCTCAGGTGCAGTGGGGAAGGCTGCTGTTTTCTTTGTAGCTGAAAAGTGATCAGTTGGGCCCATTCTTTTTGGGGTAAACCCTAACCAGAGCGAAAGAGAGAGGGTGTTGAGACAGGCACCATGTGGTGAGGCCATTTTTTTACCTCTTTCTTGTGCCCCTCCAGAACATGATGAACTGCGCGAGATCTTTAACGATATCAGCAGCAGCAGCGAAGATGAAGATGAGAGGGATCATCATGACGACGAAGACCTGAACATCATGGACACCGAGGAGGACTTGGAGAGGCAGCTGCAGGACAAGCTGAACGAGTCTGATGGGCAGCAACAGGAGAACGAGGGGTCCAACCAGATCGGTGAGTGGGTGGCAGAGTGCAGCAGAATCCTTGGAGTGCCTGGCCCTGCTGCTGCTCTGGGTCTGACCTCCTGCTCTCTTCCAGTCATGGGGATCCAGAAACAGATTGACAACCTGAAAAGTAAACTCCAGGAGACCCAGGACAGGAGGAAACGCCAGGAAGATCTCATCATGAAAGTGGAGAACCTAGCCCTCAAGGTGAGAGCTCTCCTGTGGGCTCACCAAGTCTTCTGCTTAGTCCTGGCTCGCTGTTACGTCCAGCAGACTGGTTCACCTGCTGCCCTGATGAAAACAGGGGCCTTTGCCTGCTGGGTTAAAAATAATTGTGATGTGGCCACATGTGTGAGAGCGTGCAAAGCAATCCACAAATCTGCGGGAGATAAAAGGGCTGGTTGTCAGTGCAGCTCGGGGCTTGCTGCTCCATCTGACGTGTTGTGCCTGCGCCCGTTCAGTTGAGAACACGTCGGTAACTGTGGTCTGGCACGTTTGTCTCTTGCAGACCCGTCTCCAGGCCGTGCTGGATGAGTTCAAGCAGCAGGAGGAGCGAGAGAAGCAGCAGGTGAGGAAACTCCCTCGGTGGAGCGCGAAGAGCTGGGGCATGAGAACACTTCTAGGCTTGGCCTCTGACAGAGTTTCTTGAGTCTTGTACCCCACCAGCTGCTCTGACCTCCAGCATTACAGGTCAGACGTGGTTGTACCTCGTCTCTAGTTGCATGAAGTTTCCTAAAGCACAGGGAGGTAGAGGAAATGAGGTTGGTTGCTGCCTTGCTTTTGGAGGAGCAGTGAGCCAAACCCTGTCTAGGCCGCAGTCCAAGGCTGCGTTTGCCGCCTGGGGTAAAACGTGACACAGAAGCCCACAGGCACCCGCGTGCAAGAAAGGTGGTAGCTGTAGGGTCTCAGCAGATTTCCTGCCTGGGCAGCTCTGCTGAGTTTCAACCAGGTACCAAGGCAGGTCGTTCCCACTCCCAGATTCCTGTCGACCGGCTTCACTTTTTGGGCAGCGCTGTGTTCTGTGCCGTAGTGTGGCTCCCTGCGACATACGGGCGAAACAGCCAGTGGCATAGGTAGATCTGCAGAAACACAGAAAGCCCAAGCTGGAGCTGCCACGAGTCCCAGCCATACCTAACTGCAACATCCTCACTCCCTCTTCCTAGATGATGTCCCTGCAGGAGCAGCTGGAGTCCCTCATGGAGAAGTGAGGAGCCTGGGCCTTGTATCTGTGAGCAGAGGTGGAGGTATTCGTCTGACGTACGGAATTCTTCGCTCTAGTCGTGCGCCTCTGCTGCCAGACGTGCTGCTGGGCAGTGCTGTGTCCAGAGCTGCTCTCACTGGTTGCTCTGGGCTTGGCTGGTGGAGCTAAACTGGACTATGGCTGTGAGAGCAGCCAGAACGCTGGATTTACTGTAAATATTCTCCCAGAGGGGTTTAGTTCTCTGTGCGGTGCAGCTTTCTGCATCCTACTTTTTGATGGGCCATGGCCTGGTAGGAGCTTGTTCTTGCGTGACAAGAGTGCTTGTGTCTGCAAAACAGACTCAATAAAGTGCTGTTTCCGACCTGATCTGTTCTCTTGTGGCTTCCAGATCACAGACTAGAACTGCCTCTTCCCAGTTTATGTCCAACCACACGCCAGTCCCTGGCTGGTGCTTGTGCCAGCGTTACAGGGCTCCTTCGCCGAAATGCTCCTCGTGTGTCTGGGTCACAACGATGAGAAGGGGACCCCGCAAGATGTCCCTCCCTCTGTGGGAGGAGCAAGGCCCTCCTGATCAGGGAACTTCTTTAATTCCACACAGATTAGGCAGGCAAATCCCTGATTAACCTGACAGAGCGGGAAGAGGATTAGAAAGACAGTTCCAGAATGCAATAGAAGGCAAGGGTGTGCCACGCTGGGACACCCCTCTTGCAGCCCAAAGGGGAGAAGGCCTCCAAGCTCGGCCTCAAGCGCTGAAAGGCCACCAGCAGCCCTGGGAAATGTTCAGATAGTCGAGGAAGGGTGATACTCTGAGGAAGACGCAGAGCTCGGGAAGGGCCAGAGCGTGCCTGCGACCTGCTCCTGGTGGCTGTCAGGAAGGGCCATGGAGGAAACCTACCTGCTGAATGTGGAAGGGGTCAAAAAGAAGATTCTACATGGAGGGCGAGGGGAGCTGCCGAAGCTGCAGGACGGGAGCAAAGTAAGTCATCTTAGTTGTTATCCCCAAAGCCCTGGGAGTGGGGAGTGGGTCTGATGCAGCTCGCAAGTCAAGCTCCAGGTCTGTGGTAAGGAGAGACCCCATGCCAGGAGATCCCTCTCAAGGAAGGGGTGCAGGAAGGGCTGGTTTGGGCACAGGCAGCTACGTTGCCCTCACAGCGACTGCCTTTACCTTGCGTTGGTGTTACCCTCCTCCTCCCTCAGTCCTGCGGTCATTGGAGCTCAGTGGCCGTGATAAGTTGCTGGAAATCTGTCTTGCCTTGAAGTGTGTCAAACAGGAGTGACAATGGGAAGCTCGTGGGGGTTTCTGAGATTCAGGTAATGGTGGGTTCTGCCAGGTTCTGGTGCATTCTCTGGGAGGGTGCTCTGTACTGGGTTATAAAAGGGAATTCAAAGAACGCAGCAAGATGTAGCACCAATAGGCATTAAGACGCTCCACCATCTGTTTGCTGTCTTAAGGCAAGAGGCACGATCTCCTGCCGCGGCTGCAGAGCTGCCAGTCAAACCAGCACCTCGCCGGGAGCAGGCTGGGCCCCACGACAGAGGGATTTGGGGCTGGGGAGGGAGGTCCCTCGCTCAACCGAGCTTTCTCTGGGGCAGATCACCTTCCACTTCCAGACGCTGAAGGACAACTTTGAGCGGACGGTGATCGATGACAGCCGGGAAGCTGGCATGCCCATGGAGATCATCGTGGGCAAGATGTTCAAGCTGGAGATCTGGGAGACGCTGCTCAGCTCCATGAGAACCGGGGAGGTGGCTGAGTTCTGGTGCGACGCCATTGTGAGTGAGGGGCCAGCGGGCACCCACTGCCTTCCTTTCTGCAGAGCCGGGGCGCAGGACCACACGCCCCAGAGATGCTCCAGCCTTGCCTGGTGCAAGCACAGCGGGGAGCAGGTGCCGGCCATGGCACCGGAGGGGCTGCCCTAGAGAAATGGGGTGCAGGCTTGGCTCCACGCGGCTGAGCGAGGCATTCCCCCTCCTTGCAGCACACGGGCATGTACGCCCTGGTCTCCAGGGGCATGCGGAGGATCGCAGAGGGCCGGGACCCCCTGGAAGGGCAGAAGCACCGCTGTGGCATGGGCAATATCTTTGACTACC